CAATATCTACTTATATCATAAAAGAGAGAAAAAAAAATTATTATTATTTTTACAAAAAAATATAATTTTATATGAATTAATACTTAAAGAAAAGGTTTGAGTTCTTTACAAATGAAATCATTCCATAATTTACCAATAACATTGAAATATTCTGGTTGATATCTATAGTTCATTTCAGCTAAATATTTGATAATTTAAAGTTCTCGTTTGTTTTTTTTTCTCTATATATTTTAGATCGATTATCATCATGCGTCCAATCAAAGCACGTGAACAACTTGTTATACCTGATGATGGTATTTTAATTAATTAAACTATTTAGAAATTTTTCTTCTTATTTTTTTTCTAATTAGTTAAAGTTAGTGTTAAAAGTCGTGTTGTTCAAGTAGCTGGTAACCGTGGTAAACTAGTACGAAGTTTTCGTCATGCACGTGTTGATATTTCAATGCCAAAAAAAAAATTACTTGTTGTTGAAAAATGGTTCGGAACAAATAAAGAAAATGCTGTTGTTCGTACAATATGTTCACATATCAATAATATGATCAAAGGTGTTACAAAGGTAAGTCTTACAACCATAAATAGTGTAGATCTTTTTTATTTTATATATAAATTTCATCATCACACAGTGCTGCGCGTGTGTGTATAAACCACATCAGTAGATAAAGTGGTTGTGTTTCAAGTAAGAAAAATATCCAATATGGTGATAGGAAGCAAATGACATACGTCTTTTATTCTAATTTGAGCGAAAGGAGTCTAGCTTGTTTGTTAGAATTTATCTAATAATTCGTTATTTTGATTGAATCTCCAGTCAAGACTAACAGACTACACACAAGAAAAATTTTACAAGACGTAATAGAAGACTATGAGTTTTCTAGATATTGAGCAGATTTTTGTTTTGGGTTCCAGCACATAAAAATCGGTTTTTGAGTCGACAACTATTCTTTTAAATTAAAATTACTATTTCCAATCAAAAAGGATAGCTTTCCGACAATAGTTTTTGAAAAACTGTTGATTTTCTAGGTAAATGTGAACAGTTCCCTAGACTAGGGTAGAAAGCGAGAAATTCCTAAATTAGATTCTTTCGTTAAGGAAAAGCTATTTTATTGAAGTACCGTTTTTCTTTTTATAAAGTTTGCACAAGGATCCTCAGGGGTTGAAAAATTGATTACAGATTCGAATTTCTCGACTTCAAAAATTTTCGGTCAAACTTTATAGGAAACTCATTACTTTCGCAAAACTGGCCTTTCTTGACGAAAGAATCTAATCGAGGAATTTTTTGTTATCTTATCACCGATGCATTCCTATTTTCCGTCACTAAAAGACAACTGGTTAGGAACCCGAATTTTCGCTGTTTCCGGAAATATATTCACATTTTTCTTGTTTCGTATGGATTGAACAACTATCAGTAAATTTTTTGAAAAAGTTTAAAAGTATGTCCGTACAATGCAAAATAATGGTCTTTTATCGCAGTCTTTAGCTTGTATCTTGGAACAGCTTCAATTCTACATTAATGTAGAGCATTGAGTTCTGTACAAAATGAGATATTAGAATATGCGAAATCTCATCTATGTTTCCACTAAAGAACCAATATTGACGCCAAAATATAAAGCAAGTAGTTATTTTTTCAATAACTTTTGATAGAAACAAGATAGAGATCTGCGGTTTTCAGTATTGAAAAGAGAATAATTTTCTTCATAAAAGTAAGGCAAAATCTGATTGATCATCAATTGACCAATTAGGTGAACGATATTATGAAAGTTTTCACCGTTGGATTTTGACTTATAATTCAATCATTAAATAGAAAAAAATGTTCTATTTCGGTCTACACAAGACCAAGCTCTCTAGTTTATTTCGTTCAGGAGTTATTAATGTTTTCCTGAGACCCCTGATATCGACCAAACAGACTCTAACCGAACCAGAATGGGTCAGACCAGGAGTAATCGACAAAGCTAAGTCGAGTGGTAACACTTATTTCCACTTTCGAAGTTGTCTGATGCTGCCATACTAGCATGTAGCATTCCATCATTTTCACGCTTTCTTACCTATTGAGTGGCAATATCGGAAATACTGGTATAGTAACTTCAGACAACTTTGAAAATAAAAAACAAATGTTACCACTCAACTCAGTTTGATCGATTACCTCTAGCCTGACTCATTCTAGTTCGGTTGGAGCCTGCTTGATCAATTGTGGTGGTCTCGGAAAAGCATCTACAACTTATGAACGAAACAAACTAGTGAGCTCAGGTTTTCGTAGATCGAAAGAGAATAATTTTTTAATCTAATCATTGAATTACAAGTCAAAATCTATTGATGAAAACCTTCGCAATATCGTTTATAAAGTGTCGACCATTAACGTTCGCTTGATTGGTCAATTGATGATCAATCAGATTTTGACTTTTATGAAGAAAATAATTTTCTTCCCAATGCTGAAAACCGTAGATCTCTACCAAAAGTTATTAAAAAATAGTCACCTGCCTTATATTTTGGCGTCAATATTAGTTTCTATAGAAATCTACCATACAAGATAAAACAAAAAAATAAATAGCATACTTGTACAGTAAACTTTGTTCTAGTCAATTGAGCTATTAAAAACTGTTTCATATGTTGAATATGATATGTTTGAATCGAAATAACAAATTAATCAAAATAGTATTCCGTACGTTTTTATTCATTTAAAATGTAACACATTTTAATTGAATCCAGAAAAAACTATAATACAAATGACTGAGATAAACATCATCAAGTATTTTTCTTTTTGTCTTTCTTTTTTTTTAGGGTTATTGCTACAAAATGCGTTCAGTTTATGCTCACTTTCCCATTAATACTGTTGTTACAGATAATGGCCAATCGATCGAAATTCGTAATTTCTTAGGTGAAAAATTTGTTCGTCGTGTTAAAATGCAACCAGGTGTAAAAGTTTCAGCAAGTACAAAACAAAAAGATGAACTCATTTTAGAAGGCAATGATATTGAACTTGTGTCACGATCAGGTAGAAATTTTTATATTTTCTATTGATGATTTTAACATTTATTTTTCTTATAGCTGCACTTATACAAATGTCAACAGCAGTCAAAAATAAAGATATTCGTAAATTTCTTGATGGTATTTATGTCAGCGAAAAATTAACTGCTGATGAAGCATGAATAAAGCGTGCATTTGTTTTAGTACATCATTCAACAAAAAAAAAGACAGTTTATATTATATTTTGCGCGTTTAAAACAATAAAATAAAAAAAGAAAGAATCGAACGAATGAAAAGAAGAACAACAACTTTGTTATATTTTTTTTCTTCTTCAGACACACATACACACATTATCATGAAAATAGAATAGGTACTACTGCAGCAGTGTTTCTAATGGGAATCTAAAATAAAATGTACAGTGCACGCTGTTTTAAATGAGCAAAATGTACATTTACACTTGTTTTCATAAGCAAAGTGTACAAAACATACGGTGTTTACGTCGCATATTATAAACAAAAGGAAAAACATCTTCATGTCTGTTTTACCCAGTAAAAAATAGAGAATAATAATAGATACGTAAATAGACAGCAAGGAAAAATCAATCTGTGTGTGATTCATTTAGGACGATTCACTACACGAAAGTATAGCACTAGGAAAGCACATCAGCATAAGAAACTTGATTTATTATTTTTCAAAATTCTAAATAAGCAGAAAACCTATCAAAACTGTCATGATCCTCTTCATCATCATGAAAACGGTATAATTTGAAGAAAATTAAGTTGAATATTGTAATTTTTGATTGTTTTTTTCTGCAGCTATCACATCAGTATCGGAAACGACTTTATATAAATCTGAAAAGAAAAGAAATTACGAAGAGAAAGGATGGCAGTCAACGAATAGAAAAAATAAAAAATAGACTAGAATCGGATCATCGTTTAAATATAATTTTTGAGTTAACAATACATTTAAAATATCACTTGCAAAGTGTACAATGTACACGCTGCTTTTTAAGACAAGTGTACAGCGGCGTGTATTTTCAAAGCTGCAAATATTTGTATATTTTGCTTCTGCTGTGTGTACTTGCCATTAGAAATCCTGTACTGCAGTTGAGGAACATCATCATTTTTAACGCGTACAGAACGGAAAAAATAATTTTTGGTTAAACATATAAACCAATGTTTCTCGATAAACATTAAAGAGAACAAATTTGTAAAACTAAATTTTTAAATGGTTTATCACCATATTCCTGACGCTACATAAATTCTTGTAAGTTAGTGGGTAATAAATTTCGTGAAAAACTATCTTGTTTTGTTTGTTTTCGTTTAACGTGCATCCAAATATTTTCAATATTCTGGGTATGTCCACCAGTTGTTGGATCAACAAAACGTAGGAAATGATTAATTGTTAGATGAGTATAGCCGGTGTTATTTGACAATTGAAAATAAGCCCTCCACTCATCAGAATGCATTATTGAGTCTACAAAATATTCTGTGTGGAGCTATTAGCTGATGAATTTTTCTGGTGTTGGTAGTATCCAAATCGTCAACATTAATGAGATTAGTCATTTTTATTTTATTTTTAATATTGTAGCACAGCAAAAAAATCGAGAATTTTTTGTTATGACAACGCAGGGAGTACATCCGGTATATATATGTAAATTTTTCTGGTTCAACAATAATTATTAGACATTCTTTATTCATTTTTTAAAATTTTAATTGAAAGAAATTTTTTTATTGAATTCTCGAAACTGGATTTCTCTCTATTTCTCTTCATCTTTCTACAGAAAACAATCATACTGAATACTTCAGACATTTTCTTAATTAATAACCTTTTATATCTTTAATTAATATACATCATTACTATTCTCTCTTGTCGAAAATGAGACATATTGCTTTCATATGACATCTATTCTAATTTTTTTCTTATTTAGAAACATTGGTTTATATGTTTAACCAACAAATTTTGTTTTCGTTCTCTACTCGTTAACAATGGTGGTGTTCCTCAGCTGCAATAATACCAAATAGAATAATAAAAGATAAACGATGAACGATCCTTCTCCTGATTTAATAAATGATGCTGAAATTCATCAAAAATTAAATGAAAATCAACTTTCATTTGACGAACTTTTTCATCGTGTTGATAAGAATAATGATGGAAAAATTGATTTTAATGAATTAATTCAACTATTAGAACAATATGATATTGAAATGTCGCCTAAAAAGCGTGTAGCCGTCGCACGTGTAAGTTATATTTAACATTGAAAATCAAAAGAAATTAGGTTTTTTTGTTTTTCCTCTCGTATGCTTTCATAGAGTATTATTGATCAAGGTAGTGGATTATCATTTCAATCATCTCTTACGTTTCAAGAATTTGTTGATTATGTTTTAAAACAAGAAAAGAAACTTAGTCTAGTTTTTCGACATGTAGATGCTGCTCATCAAGGTATAAAACAAGAAAAATAAAAAAAATTATTCAAATTAATTGTTTGTATTCTAGGAAAATTCGATGCAAACGATTTAGTTTATTATTTTAAAAAACTTGGTATTATAGTTGAATTAGAAGAAGCAAGAAAATTAATCAAAAAGTAAATAATTAGAAATATTTATTGCTTGGTACAGAGACTTCTGTCAGGTGTAGTTCTATTTCATTTGTTTTGTTATGTAGTATTTATTTTTAACAATAGTAGCGTCAAGTAAACGAGCACTGTCAAGTCAATAGTCAGATAACATGAAACAACAAAAATAGAAAAAGAAAACATCTGCGTTGGATTAACTTTTGAAAGTAGTTATTGCGAAGAAAAAAGGCTCAGCATCATTGAATATTACAACTTTCATCCTTGTCATGTCAGCTTAACGATACCCCACCACTCTTTTTTAGCCATATCCAATTGTCAAAGAAACTACAGCCATGGGCGATACAAACTAAAGTTTCTAAGGGTAGCAATAACCTTTCATTGCTACTCCTAGTTTCCTGTAGAAGTAGCGATTGCTTGTCTTCGTTACTATGGCGCATCGCCTATGTTTCTAACAATTGCCGAAATATGGGTTATTAGAAGTAGCAATAACTTTTTATTGCAGCTCCTAATTTTTGTGTAGGGGTAGCAATTGCTTTCCCTTACTACTATGGCACGCTGCCTATGGCTACAGCCGATTCACATGAAACTTTTACCACAGATAGAACACCTAAAATAAAGAGATACGTGTTCAAAGACAAAAAGCTTTAAACAAGATTTTCGCAGCTTTTTCTAACCAACCGTTTTTTTTCCGCAGGAGTACATCAGGTCGGCTTACGATCCCTGTCTAACTTTGTCCGATCGATCTGAGATTTTGATCACAGATGTTTGAAACTATGCTCGAGAAGTAAAATCGGCCATTTTCGTCTTTAACTTTCCTATTCGGATATATAGACGAGCATTCCAACGTTTACGTATTTCTCTCAAAAAAAAAAAGAAATGCAAGATTTTTGCAAAAGTTTAAAATCATCTCTGAGATATAGTCTAAGGTTTCTGCAGTCTAATCGAACAAAGTTATACGGGAATCGTAAACAAGTTCGGTATAGCGTCATGGAAAACCAGGATTTTCCAGAAAAGAACCACAAAAAAAACTTGTTTTAAATTGTTTTCCCTGAAACACATGTTCCCTTATTTTAGATTCTTTTTCTGTGGTAAAAATTTCATGCAGGTCGATTATATCCTATTCGAGAACAACAGATGGCCAAAAAGAAGAGGGGATATTCTTAAAATACATAAGATTGGTGTACATGTAAGTTGTCACTAATTTACAGGAAAAGAAATTTCGGAGTCAAAGTTAAACAAAAGTGTGATTCCGCAGATCTCTAGTTAAACAATCAGTTCTTTTAGAAAGAACTACATGAATGATGCCAGGTCAATTCTTCGATCGTGAACTGTCGCAGATCTATTTGTAAATCGAATTCTATCTTGTTTTAATATTTAGAATGGATCAAGATCATTCTTTACAAATATCATTTGATGAATGGCGTTCATTTTTTTTGACTAATCCAGCGGCTCTAGAAAGTATTACCAGTGATCCACGTGCAATGCTTCGCTACTGGCGTAGTGCACCGGTTTGTTATTTAATCTTTTATTCGTGGTAAAAAACAAAATTAAACGTTATTCGATTAGTATTTAGATTTAGGTGAATCTCCTTATGGTATACCTGAAGATGCACTAACAGAAGGTAATCAATGGTGGAAATATCTTATAGCAGGTGGTTTTGCTGGTGCTGTATCAAGAACAGTTACTGCTCCATTTGATCGACTTAAAATTGTTATGCAAGTACGGCGTTTTTTTTTTTGGAAAACAGAATTCCTTGGATTTTTTTGCTATCCATTCGAGATTTTAATAGATCGATTAATCTTGTTAGGTTTCTTAGTATTTGGGTTCAAGACAACGTATGAGTGTCATAAGTGGTTATCGATATTTAGTTAATGAAGGTGGTGTAAAAAGTTTATGGCGTGGAAATGGTGTTAATGTTTTAAAAATTATACCTGAAACGGCATTACGATTTGCATGTTTTGAAGAAGTATATTATTGATATGTATAATAGAGATTCTAATTTTTATTAATTTATACCATTTATAGGCGAAAAAAATGTTGAAAAGAATTCAAAATAAAGAATTGATTACAGAAACAACAATTGCGGAGCGATTTTTAGCTGGAGCAATGGCTGGTTTTCTTTCTCAAACTGTTGTCTATCCATTAGATGTAATTATTACTGCCCTTTTTTTTCTCTAGAAATCTTTGTTTTCTTTGAATTTAGGTGTTAAAAGTACGTTTATGTTTAAGACGTACAGGTGAATATTCCCATTGGAGCGATACTGTCAAACGCATATACAAATTGGAAGGTCCAAAAGCTTTTTGGCGTGGTTATGTACTCAACCAAGTTGGTATAGTTCCCTATGCTGGATTTGATTTAGCATGTTATGAAGTAAGTCTACCTACATGTATGAGTGAATTGCAATATTCTCGTACCGTTTTGAGAAAAAAAAGGAACGAAAACAAAAACTTTCAATTTGAAAGATAATAAGTAGTGTGTTTTACTATGTTATATGAGACGAGAAAATGAATCAGTTTTTGTCAACTACTACTATTAGTATGACTGAGATAGATAAGAATCGTTCAAAGCTCATAAAAATGCTTGAATACGATTTTTCCATATATACGACTAAGAAATACAGAAATATGAGAGGTTTAAATTTTGATAAATCTTAACTACATAAGGTTGATAGTGTGTTTTATGGTATATATTCATGATGTGACGTCATTTGCACAAAATGACTTCTATAAGACACAATATAAAATTAGTTCGCAGTAGTTTTCATAGTACCTCAGATAAGAACTGAACTCTTTATTAGATTACAAAAATTTCGAGCCGGCTCGAAAGTTCTAAGAGAGTTTCGGTTCGTGACCTCATTGGTCCCTAAAATAAAATAACCTAATTTGCTTAATTAATTGCGAGATATCATCGTTCTGAGCAGGACAACATAATACGTAGAGTGTGGATCCTCTTTTACATTAGCAATGGCAATCAAACATCATATATTCACATCCAGGAGCTTCGTATCAGTTCCTATACACTCACACCCTGATGTGTGATTGGCATTGCTGATGTAGAAGAGATCCATTTTCTACGTATTTTGCCATCCTGCCCAGCACTACATCATTCTGCTTGACGCTATGTCGTTCTGCTCAGCCTATAGGACTTTCAGTCTGAGCTGAAAATTCTGTGGGCCGAAATTCCGGTCTCCTTATATATTTTGACCTTACACGTTAGTAGTCTTGCGTGGCGCATTGAAACTTTTTTTTCTTTTTCTCATGTACTAGAAATTTCCTAACGCTAATATTTTAATGGCAATTGATCATAATGAATCAATAAAATGATCAAAGTTTGCAGTACCGTAAGAAAATTATACATGAAGCTAAATGAATAATCTTGCATGACATTTACAGTGTCAATGAAATTTTTCAGTATTATTTCAGTTGTGATACACAAGAAATAACACAATTTTCTTTTCTTTTTCCTATTCACTGGTTTTCATTCAATAGTACGCCACTTGTTTTTAGATGGGTTGGTTTGATCTCGTGTTACAGAAAATGAAACAATTACTATAAATTCAGAAAAAAATATTTAAAAATATGTGATAAATACGTTAATCAGTCTTGTATTCAAAATATGCAGTGTTTTCTCTAGCCCTGCTGGCTTCCAAAATTTAAACGAGAAAATAAGAATCTTTTAGACCTTTTTCCTCCTTCCCCCCCCCCCCCCCTATTTAATATCTTTGGACTGATCTAAGATAAATCCTTGATTCTTTTATATAGTAGCAAGGACCTATTAGAGGAACCTACTCTGAAAAAAACATAAAAAGTGATTGAAAACAACTGAAGATATTGAACATGTTCATATTAGAATGTAGTGGTACAATGAAGTTGCAATTCACTTATATCTTTTCTGTAATCATTTCTAAAATTTTCTTATCAATCTAGAGTCTGAAGCGTCTTTATATAACGACACATAACAATCGAGAACCACCAATATATATAGTACTTGCTTGTGGTGCACTTTCATCAGTTACTGGTCAATTAGTTACTTATCCGATTGCTTTAATGCGTACACGTCGACAAGGTCAAATTGTACCATTACCAAATATGGATCAAAGTAAATCTCATCCAGTATTACCAGCTACAAAAATGTTAAAAGAAATATGGCATAAAGAAGGAGTGGTTGGATTTTATCGTGGTCTTGTACCAAATATGTTAAAAGTTGTTCCATCTGTTTCAATATCTTATTTAGTTTATGAAACTGTTATAAAAGCTATTTCCTGATAAGGGTATCAATGAAAAGCATTTATGAAAATATACGACAGACAATTTTTTTCCTCGAATTCCTTAGTTGTATGTTTCAATACAACAGTTGTGTTGTCAATATACAAACATCATGTTTTTTTTTTGATTTTTATTACGAACATTTGCTCATTCATTGATAATTCTAAATATAGACATTAGTATGACTGGTCACATCATTTTCTATATATGCTCAATAACAAACAATTTACTTTTATGAAAAAATATCAAGTATTAAAGATATAACAAATTTGATGGCAAACAGACTAAGTCTATCCCCAAACTGGATTCATCGTTGATGAAATTATAAAAAGTTTCAATTTAGTCGAAGCATCAAATTTAGCAACAAAAACATTTTTCAATATTGTACAAAGTAGAACGATGACTTGAATGCACATTTAAATGTATGCACTATACATCGGTTATTAGGAAACAAATCAGGTTTTTCGCTAATTGACAATCAATAGATATTGCATCAAAAATCCTATGAAAGGATAGGAACGTATAAGAACCTGATTTGGTCCATAGGAATTGTTCACACTAAATTCGTCACAATTATATATAGGATGCATGGATTTTAATTGGTGAGTATGCTGAAACCAGATTTGAGGATTTTCTCGATTATATACTCACCACATAAATATGCCAAATTAGCGCTTGAACCTGATAACACATGTATGTGAATTTAAGCTCCTATGCATATAAGTATTGAGAAAATCAGAAATGCATTTGACAGCACTAGTTTCAGGCTATATATTTTTACCCGAAACTCAATTTCTCAATGCATCGTTCTAGATTAACTTCAAGAGAATGTATAATGATGATACCATAGTCTTTCAGATCAATTTTGACTATATAAACACAAGAAAGCTAGCTTCTATTACAGCTTGTCGGATAGGACTTTTCACAGGATACAAAATCTTATAGCTTTTAAAATTATACACAGTGAGTCAAAACAAAGTGTAGGCCTGCTCTGTAAAAAATGAAGTCTATTTTATATATAATGGCTGGCGCAGAAGAAATTATACTGTTTGTATTTTGAATATTCGTCTTCTATCATCCATTAGACTGAAATATCTTTTGATATCAAAAGATGGTGCTTGAAATTCTCTACAAAATCATATATATGGTTGAAACCAAAAATTATTTTCGATATATTTAGAAAAACAAGATGAAAAGTAAAGACACATGAACAGATGTAAAAATCTAAATATAAAAATAGTGATGGACCGACTTAAATTTATCGTGATTTGACTGGAATGGTTTTATTACCAACAATTAAGTTGTGAATAAAATTGATCAACAGGGTGTGAGTTTTCGCCTCCTCTTTATCCATACCAACGATATTTGAGAATTTTATTTTGATTGTGACAATGCTTATCCAGTACTAATAGCTGGTCTCTGAATCCAAACAATACGATTGTCTTCAGCTAGAAAGTCAATGGAAAACTCTAACAAAGTTGGATACTTGGCATCATAATGAACATCGCCGTTATGATAGGGTTCATCGTGACATCCGTGATCAATGAATACGAGTTTCGTGTGTTCGCCTTCGATATCTTTCAAATTCCGTCGCAAATCGTCAACGAATACCACCGGTTTCAATGCTTCGATCGTTTGTTTTTTCGGATTGTTGGTTGGATCGATCGGATCATATCCTGTACTAATCACCTTGTCGATAGGAAATCCATGAAGACGAAAATTCTCAAGACGATCATTGAGAAATCGACCAGGCATCGCAGTAACGCATACCAATTCGTAGCCGGCATTGTGTAACATAAGACAGGCTTCCAGAGCACCATCGAGTGGTGGCATCATTCGCCATCCTTCGGCTTCATGGGCGGTTTTGAATTGATTGTGTTCTTCGGGTGTGAATTCGACACCATACAATTTTTTGGCCTAGAGTAAAAAAATACATTTACTCGTCAATATCGATGTTTGCCTTATCATTGTTCTTCGCAAGATAGAGCTCGCTCGACTACGAAAATTAGTTTCTACTGAAGTACGATTGCTGTATGCTTCCCAAAAGACACAAAACTTACACTATAGGATTTAGGTGACACAATGGCCAATTCTTTTCCGAATGTTTTTGTATAGAGTTGAGCAAATGCAGAATGGGTATCCAGTAAGACACCATCACAATCCAACGCTATGATTCCTTTCATGTTCGACGACGAAGATAAGTCTGTATAGCTCACTTATGTTGTTTCTTTCTTAAGTATAAAAACGACAGTAGAGAAAGGTAAAATATTTATACCATTTCTTTCACGTTCTGCGACTAAAAATGACGCATGGATTCAGTATCTTGCATAATTACAGTGTTCTTAGAGAACAGAATCGAATGAAATGAAATTGAGTCATGATGCTACGTGGCTAGTATTTCACGTCAGTTGAAATGACGTCATTGCTGCCATAGAAAGGTTTTCAAAGCATACTTCCGTTTTATTAATACACGTCACCATCGATTATTTTGACTATTTTCTACACTTATGGAGATATTTACAACACCTTTTATTTAAACGAAACGAGTTTCCACTGCTTGACAAAATCATACGAACGAGCTTGTCAAAGAATGTTTAGATTTCCATGTTCTATGAAAGTCTTCTGTTCGTTTGCGAATTAGTTAATATTTGAATAGAAGCTACATCAGTCTTATCTCTAATAATCAAACATGTTGATGGTAAATACTCGTGCAATCATAACAACAACAGTTCATCACATCTTGATAACGATTTGAATGGATTTCATTTCTCATTTTCACATTGAACAGTCAACAATCGAAAATTTGACATTGCACAAATAAGATCCAGAATGATTGTTCGCTCTTATTATGACTACTGTGAAACGAATTGAGTCTTAGTTCAATAAGAAATTGTTCATGGAAATCAGCAAAATGTTATAAAATGCTGAATATTTTATCGTGATCAATTTAGTCGAGCATTACAATCTTCGTTTACTTTTACTTTTACTTCTATAATTTGCAAAGAACTTTCAGAATATTATTAATCTGCATCGATATTAGTTTCATAAAAACCTCGAAAGTATTTTTAATCCAGTTTACTTGTAATTCTTCCTTTGTTCAATGCGATGAACAATTTTGGTTTTATAATTGTATGTGATGGGAACGAGAACAATAATGAAATTATTCTTATCTTTATATTTATAGACACAAACATATATCGAGAAGTATCTATCAACTACAAAACGACTGAGAATCGTAGTTTTTATCTAAAATATAGAGTTTACGGTCAGAAGAAGTTTTCTTGGACATATATAAACGATACAAGTGTAGACATTTATACTACAAATAAAAGTTTAATATGATGATACAAAGTGCCGGTATACTTTCGTAGTCTTTTTAATACATGCTTGAATAACATTTAATGATCGCTTATTATATATTTACTTTTGTTTATTTTATGCTTTGTCCCTATGTCGTTATTCGATGATTCTATTCAAAATGTACACAATAAGGAAAGAAAAGCGTCGGTACATCATCAGTGAGTAGAAAAAAGATTCTATAAATGTCTCACAAGTAGGATGATTTCTAAACTGTCACGCTAATACAATATACCTCACTATTAATTATTATCGCTCGCATGGTGATGTAAATTATGGACATAGTCCTAGCCGTCCATCTGCACTCGACTCATCTCAAATCAAACAACTCGATCAAACACCATTCGACACAATCGATCAGCTACTGCTGCTGAATTACTATCACTTATACACTTAAACACTATCGAACGCATGATACAACGTTATCGTCTGTCTCTTAGCTATCGTCCACACAAGTTTTCTGTTACAGTCAAGAGCAATAATATTAATGCTCAAAAACAATACCAATTTGCTGCATTACATCATCATGCTAATATCAAGAAGTATATTTTTGAAGATGGATGTTATGTGAGTTGAAGAAACACACAACAGATTGTTTGGTATAGATGAGGAAAGCCGACACCAAAGCAGGAAATTTCATCCTTATGGGCGCATGTTAACTTAGTTGGTTCCATTGGATGAAATGGTTATGTTTTCTATCGATTCGATAGCTGGTTAAATAGTGATACATATTGTGATACAGTAAATGAAGCTTTATCTGGAATTATAAAAAAATTAAATAGATTCTTATATGTTTCTGATCGAGTTAGATGGCATAGAAGTGCTCAATTCAAACAAAGGTGTGACCAACATAATATTGAATTATGTAAATGGTCAGGTTATAGTTCTGATTTTAATGCTATTGAACCAATCTGGAACACTATCAAACAAAAAATTAAAAACAAGAAGCCAAAATCACAAGATGAACTAGAGAATGCTATCAACGAAGCTTTAAATGGTTTATCATTAAATATCATTCAAGCATACATTAATAAGACTCAGAATATATATCAACAGTATCAGAGGTCCCTTTTGCTTCTTCTTTTAGTTCAGTTTTATTTCGAATGACCCGACCCAAGATAGAGAGCATCGCGATGAGAGAAAAAAAGAATCAAAGAATGTAAACAAAGAGAACGAAAACAGAACAGAGACAAGAAGCGAATGCCAAAGGCGAACAGAGAGAAAACGGATAATAACAGCTAAAGCGATGTGAGGGTATGTGAACAACATGCCTGTAACAAACAGCTTGTATCTTCATATTGAATTTTATTTGTATTATAAACATTTATATTGGTGCTATTCATATATATATATCCAAGAAGAAAACTTCCTCTCACCATAAACTCTATATTTTAAATAAAAAATACGATTCTCAGTCATTTTGTCGTTGGTAGATTGGTTTTTGAACTCGAAGAGTAAATAAAAGAAGTATTAACACAAAGTATATGAAGTTGATTGAAATGTTCATCAAGTAAATAAAGACAATCGATAAAACTTTTCAAACAGACATGCCATTCTAACAAATTTGAAGAGAAAACAGTTGGAGTTGAAATCTCGAACGTAATTGTTGATAATAGATTAATGATGAACCAAAATTTAAATATCATAACTTGGGAAATATAGTAAAGATTTATGTGAATATAAGTTGATTCACACCTTCTGTTAAACTTGGTTTTTCATTTTTACTAATATCGATAACAAGTGATGAAATGTTATTTTTAAATATATGAATTCCAGAAGTTTCGTCAAAAATATAAATACAAAAGTCTTGAGGAGGAAAAAAATTATTCATTTTAAATATCGATCAAATTGTAATATCAATTCTTTTAGGCGTTTGAAATTAAATTCGCATAGACAGTCTCCGCCATATCTACCCACACCTACAGCTTTCCTCACACCCATACCCAAATGTCGCAGAAGCAATTATCCGGGAAGCAACTGTCCCGGAAGCAGGTGTCGCGGGAGTATCACTTTGGTAAGCAATATTCGTGTTACTTGAATTCACATCATGTCATACTCTTACAGAGATTGAATATAATATAGAATTTTCGATAGGTTGAAAAAGCCAACTTCATCAATATTGTCTTTTCCACTTTTAGATTTCTGGAACAAATTTCTCACTTCACGTTTTAACTAAAGATTATATGAATGACAATGAGTAAGTTTTTAAAGAGAGCGTCCATGATAACATCAAGTGACCGATGCACTCGTCAAAATTTAAATTTTGAGGAGTGCCTAGGATGCTGGGATCATCCTTGATGTTCTTATGGAGGCTCTCTTAATCACCCTGTTAAGCATAATTTCATTTAGAAATATTCAGAGATTTCTTTTTATAGATCATTAATTGAAAATAAAATTCATCTATTTATGTGTAATTTAAACGAAAAATTAAGCCAAATTATATTGAGGACTAATCAAAAGTTCTAAGAACAATAAATGAAATTATGAAATCAAAGAGATATTTTTAGTTTTATTTTATTAAATATTCAAAGGGTGTGGGTGTAGGATATGGACGCTGCTCATTTTTCACACACCCACATCCTACTTATATTTAATAAACTGACCATTTTATAATTAATTACTGCTACTTTTTTGTACTAACCATTTACATACTTTTTTACAGACCATTTCATCTATTATACTGATCACTTGAAGGGTAGCGAAAAAGAAGTCCTATATTCTAGTACAGCGTGGTTATCTTTTGAAAAAAAAGCACTTCATGTTCAATCATCTAAACAAGCATTCGATTTTTAAGAAAATATCAATTTATCCGTCAACTGAAATTGAAAGCTTCACATCACATTTGGCAGTCAGTTGAAACTGGAATATCATCTAGTGTTTTTTTTTTCATAATCCGGAGGAAAAAAACAGAGTTCTCACTTCAAAATCATCATTTGATGCAGCGCATTGAGAACGAACGGAACTTCGTATCGAAATTTCGAAAAAAAAATCGATCATGTAGAAACGTAAAACTTTATAACGGCATTTGAATGGGAGTCGTACAACTCTTCGATCTTTAAATCATCTCGATACAAAATAGCGACTTCGAATTATATGGCAAGAACAAAAAACTTGCGACCGATTGCTGTAAAATACTTCGCGCCGTAAAAATTGAATCAATAGACTAATTGATATTAATCACTGTTATTTTGCAGTTAATCGAGTTTATTATAAACTATTTAGATATTCTTTAATTTATTATTTGGATTGCTAATCCACATTATTTTTGAGCTCTAACATCTCAAACCTTTGCTTTATAGTTTATGAAGTCGCTTACGGCCATACCACGTTGAATACACCAGTTCTCGTCCGATCACTGAAGTTAAGCAACGTCGGGCTCGGTTAGTACTTGGATGGGTGACCGCCTGGGAATACCGAGTGTCGTAAGCTTTTTTTTTGTCAATCGTAATTACAAAAGATAATCCAACTGAAATCTTTTTACTGACTTGATTTTATCGCGTAAGATATCAAAAAGAATCTTAGAAATCTAAAAATCTTCTTTTTCTTATAATTTCAATACTATGATTTATGTATTTTGAACAATTAAACTCACTCATAAAATTTCCAAATCTAAGATTTAAATATTTTATTTCGTTTAAAAGCAATCAAATACAGTTTATATTATTAATAATTAAAGTTATTATTCAATGGTGACATAAATATTATCAACAGTTGCATTTGCTTCTTGAAATACAATGGTAAGTTGTAGTTCGACAGTAGTTGAAGGACATGGAATAGTAGCAATAAATGTTGACGGTTGCGTAAACAAAGTTATATGTAATGTTGATTCTATAATAATATTATGATAATTTTTGTTTTATTTCTATGATTTAACTTACGTTCAAGACCAATTTGATTGTTATTCGAATCAATAAAACGTACATTGATATAAGCAGGTAGATTAGATAAATTTAAAGTTCCTGCTGCTTTTTCTTGCATTTCAAGATAAATTTTACTTCGTCCATTTTCAATCAATCGTTCATAACGACGTACATCAATAGTTTGTTGTAATGTCGCATTTATTTTTCTTGCTTGAAAAACACATTCATCAGTACTAAATTCATCTTGTTTAGTAAAAACGTCTCCATTGCTATTCCAATTGGCTATTGTACCAGAAATTCCCGTACAGCTTGCATTACCATTATGTACTAAATTTCTATTTTTTCCTTTGGATCCATCGGGTAGAATTGCTTGTGCAATGGATAGAACTACATTTAATTGTCCTGGAGTAATTTTTACACTAATAAGATTAGCTCCAGTAAAATCCACATTAACTACATTAGCATTTTCAAAATTAGCACCACCCAAAAATGTATTTCTAAATGATGCATCTGTTAGATCTGCCCATTGAAAAATACAATCTGGCATATAAGCATATGAAAAATTTGTTTGCATAGCTTTTGCAGTATGAAAATTTGTTGATTGAGCGAATACGTTAACCATTTGAGCTTGAAAAAGATTTGCTGAACGAAAATCTGCCGACGAAATTTTAGATTCAGAAAAATCTGTTTGAAAAGCAATAATATCTTGAAAATCTGTTGATTCAAGATCTGCATTATGCATATATGCTTGAGATAAATTTGCATTTCGAAATGAAGCACGTCGAATTGTTGCATATGAAAAATTACTTTGAAATACATTAGTATCAATAAAATTGGTGAGAGATAAATAAGCTCGATAAAAATCTGTTTGAATAATTTGTGATCCATGAAATGAAGTACCAGTCATATTACACCAACTAAAATTAGCTTTATTTAAATATATTTGTTCAAATGAAGCATTGATTAAATTCGTTAATGGTAATGAAAGTTGAGTATAATTTAACCAACGACCGACTATACAAAAAAAAAAAACAAAAGAATGAAAATGAATAAAAATTTACTTTGATCAAATTCAACATCCATATCATCTAAATCAAGATTTTTTAAATTCGCTCCTTGTAAATCTAAAGTTGGACTATCTGCATTTTGAACATACAGAAGTTTAGATTTGTATAAAAATCGAATCAATAATGATTTATAAAGAGAATCAAATCGACGTATTAATGAACGAACTTTCAATTCGAGATTAGTTATATTCAATGGTTGTTGTGCTGACATAATTTTATCGATAAAATCTGTTAATAATTCGGTATATTCTTTATTAATATCATTTTTCCTACGTTGTTCATTGGATTGTTTTTCTTCTAATAATATTTGCAAACGTTTTTCTTCAGTTTCAAACTGTTGTTTTAATTGTTGTATTGCAAGTTTTAAATCTTGTTCACGTTGTTGTTGTTCAATTGATCGATCTTCTGAACGATGTATTTCAGTTAAATTATATTGACGTTCAAGACGTTGATTTTCAATAGATAATTGTCGTTCATAACGTTGTTGTTCAAATAATCGATCTTCTACACGATGTTTTTCAATTAAATTTTCTTGACGTCTTTGACGTTCATTTTCAATATATAATATTTGTTCACGTTGTAATCGTGCTATTTCTTTATTTGAGTCACTTAATAATTTAGCAATTTTTTCATTCGATTCACGTAAATCAGTTTGATTCGATGTACGTGGTAAGAATATAAAAACAGCAAGAATAGCACCAAGTATTAATACAATAAGTAAACCGATCAGGATTTTCAAGACATCTAGTGAACTAGATTTTGATGGAGCCGGTGGTGCTGGAGGAGGAGGAGGAGGAGGAAGAACAGGAGGAGGTAGTAGAACATTAGGCATAGTGAATGGAAATTGTGCAGGATCAAAGAAAACTGGAGGAGCTGTTGCCATTTTTTATTTGTAATAAAAAATGAATGATTCGTTACGAAATTTTTTATGCATATCTTTTTATGTCAATATTTTTGGATTAGTTCTATTGAAGTATGATATTTTATTAGATTCAAATTTCACTTAAAAAAAACAAATGTATTATGTTTCTTGTATTTAACAAATATATTTATCTGCTTGAATCTAATGTTGTTATCATGAAATTTTTGAAATTCGATTCTATCTTGCTCGCTGATATCAAAAAAGATTTCACAGAACTGAATACTGGATATTTAATATATGTCAGTAAATGCTAAGCACTATGGTAATAATTTATTTTCAATTGAAGAAGCAGTATTAAATGACATCAAGAACCAACACGTTTAGATCTTTTATGTCAACTGTTTATTAGTATATTCAGAAAACTTATTCAAGGTATAAATATTTTCTATAGAATGCCTTGAAAATGCAAGAAATATAAATTATTCTCAGAACATACAACTCAGCCAAATCAAATAACAATTAGTAAACTTCTCTCAAGAAATTTCTTTTTATATATGAATAGATATCTAAACCATAACAAACGAATTTCTATTTATGGCAGATTTCGAGATTAACCAATGAAACGTAAACATTATTTTACAGAAGGATTCTGCACTTCATTGATAGGAAAACTCTAAAATAGATTCTATGTTATTCTTATTTTCTAGAAAATAATAATCTATTATTGTTTTGGTATTCACATTAGCGCAAAAAAAAACATTTTTTTGGATATTATATCGCTTTAACATATAGTAAGCAATCCTATTTATTCAGCCTTTTCAATATTTTCTATCAGTTTTTGTTCGTTAAGCAATAATAATATATTATCTACATGGCAAATGCTAATCGTGACATTCAGTACTATGTTGATCTTTTGCTCGGTAGGATTTCTTTTTAGCAAAGAATATATCGACTAGAAAGAAAAATCAACCTATGAAATGATATATGACATACAAATTTTTTTTTTGTTGTTTTTCTTCAAATAGTTATTCATCACTTGACATTCTATTACTTAATTTTAAATAAAAATTTAGTATGCTAAATACTTATATATTTAATTGTCACATTTCGTTATATAAAGAAATACATGATTGATTTCAATGTGAATAAAATCTCGTGTAGAGATAATAATTTAATATTTATTATTAGTTTTATTTATTTACTCTTTCTTCTATGATTTTATATAATTATTATTTTATATGAAATTTCAGAGAATGAATTCAATACTCTCTCTCTAAATTATTATTATTATTATTATTATTATTATTTATCAAATAATTTCAACAATCTATTTTTGTCTATAACAATATTTATGCTTGATCGAAGGCCATTTACTAGTCAACACTGAATACCATTTATATATATGATAATAATTATCATACAATAGAATCTTCGATGGTAAGAATTTATGTTATGTCCAATTTCTTATCTATATACTAGTGTGCCAATGAATTGATGAGTATTGTATTAGTACTGATTGTCCTTTGAATGAACAATCTAACGGTCTTCTCCTTTTTTTGTTCATTTTCATCTTGATTTTATTCAGGTATCTGAAATCTTTAAAATGTCTATGTGTTTGTTTTTTAGTGTCACCTTCTTTTAAGGAGAAAATAAAGTATGTTCTCTATTGAATAACTTGTTACAATGAAATTAAAATACTTCTTATATAATCATCATGTCTGTTTAGTGTACATGTTCTACAACTAATCTTGAACGAATATTATTTTTGTCGTCGTTAGTTGATCTATTTGAAGACAGATTAAGATGAAATGTTTTATTTGTCTGTCCTATTGATTGTTCATTACTGTCTCGTCTTTTTTTTTGTGAAGAGACAACATATTACATCATTATCATCGCCCAATAATGACAAGAGCAAACGAAGGTTAAAATAGTTATTAAGGTGGATCTGCGATTATAATATATAATTAGTAATGATACATGTGAATAAGAACTAATTTGAGATTTTTTTTTGCATATTGAAAAGAAAAGCCTAATCAATGTCTTGCTATAGCTCGTCACTTTTTCTTTTCTATGGTAATGCTTAAATTGTTCTCTACGTTCTATAAACATATATATATATATATATACAAATTGCTGTCTCTAGACACAGAACAGAAAGTAATGACAGAACAGTATTGAGAGTAGTAAAAAAAAAAAAAAGAAATGCTAGAAACTTTTTTTTTTCTTTATTCTTACACTGATTTCATTATGCATATATGTGTGAGTATTGTTACGGCATTCCTTCCTGGTGAGTACTTTTTTTTTTTCAATGGAACGGAAAAATTACATCAAGAAATAAATAGCCTTGCTGTTTAATATATAATCATCGTCATCATCGTGTATTCAGTAGATTTAATATGTATATAGATTAATAATACTTGTATTTTTTTTTTCTAGAAAATGCAATTAGCTATAGCACTTTATAATAATGATGTTGATAATGAAGATGAACTTGAATTTCGTAGAGGTGATATATTAACTGTACTAATTGAAAATCCAAATGGTTTTGATGGTTGGTGGTTATGTAAACATAAAGATAAATATGGTCTATGTCCTGGAAATCGATTAAAACTTATACAAAATACAAATACATCTTCAATGAAATTGAATGATTATGTACATTCAAATTCTCGTCTATCGACAGCATCTGTAAGTTTGAATAAAACTGAAAAAAAATTAATGTTTAAAAATATATTAGATGTACGATGATCTATCAAGTAATTATGATAACCCGATAGTATCATCATCATCATCATCATTACGAAATTATGATAATGATAATCCACAAGATTCAAGTAAGTTATCGAAATTCGAATGATTAGATTATGCTATTATTTATCACATAAAAGAAAGGCTTTTATTTTACAAAGTAGAATCATTAAAATGTTAAAGATTAATTTTTTTTTTTATCCTCTAGAATTTATTTCCAATTCATCACCTGAATCTTCTTTATGTTCATCCGGTATTTATTCTACTAATGATCTTCATTTATCTTCATCATCATCATCCGACTTTTATACAATTCCTATTACCAATAATCCTTTATCGTTAAGTAAGTTTTATTATAACATATTGTTATCAAGATGTCAAGTAAACAATAAATAGCATATCTGTTTTATTAATGAAAACCAGATAATCTATTATATGATTTGTTTTTTTTTTCTTTTTTTTAGGTGACCTTGATCAATTACAAAATTCTTTTCAAAAATTATCTGTACGTTCATCATTAATTGATAAATATTGTCAACTTATATTAAAAACAAATATTGAATCAATAATTCATTCATTTATAGATGAATGTTATTTATTTCTTCATAATTATGGTTGTTTATTAGATCGATATACATATAGATTAATAAAGGAAAATTATCTTTATGAATTAGAACAAAAGAAAAAACAAATAATCGAGTTATCAACAAAAATAATTCAATTAATAAAATCCATTATTGATTTACGATTAAAAGAAAAATTTCATCCGAATTCATTGATATCAAATGATATATTAAAAAAACTTCATCTTGAACCAATAACAGAAATTTCTAATGAAAAAATCAATACATCATTATCAGCAATACAAATTTATGGAAATTTTCTTAATAATAATAATCATTATCAAACAGATATGAAAAATTCGAAAACATGTTTTTCAGATTTTTTATCATTATCTTCATATAATAAAACAAATGATTATGAATATATGAATAATATTTGTTCAATAAATCCATTGATTAAATGTTATTATCGACATATAAATGAACAAATTAATTTAATAATTAAACGTTTTTCATATTTATTAGAAACTGATAATAAAATTTCATTGTTAATCACTGAAGGTAAAGCACTTACTGTTGCAGGACATAAACTTATATTTGTACTTGAAACACTTCATGAACATGTACAACAAATACATACATCGTTAATTCATCTTACAACACAATTATATGAAACTTTAAAAAATTTAATTCAATTACTTAAAGAATTTACTCAAACAAATTGTACAAATATTCAAAAATTAATCATTCAATTTAAACAGAACATCAATATGATTATGCATATTGTACAAAGAATAAAACAACATTGTAGCTTAGTTTAATACTACTTCTTTTTTAATTTCTAGTCAGATATTTGAATAAATTGCATTAATGAAGAAAAAGAAATTTATATGTACTATTCTTAAGATAGATGTATATATATATATATATATATATATAAGCCAAAATTGGACTGTTGGTCTGTAGGGAACCACAGATCCATGGTTTTGTGAATCCGGACCTGACAATAAATTAAACTTTGGACGCGAACTCAGGTCTGAAAGAATCCGAAGCTCCCTAATGGTCTGTCTCGTAGACACATGCTAAACGAAATTAATTAGTTTTATTACTTATTTCATGTTCTTTTAGTCTGAAAAGAAGTTAATCTGTATTTATAACCAATTTTTTTTTCTTTTTTCTCTTCCACTTATCGTTCTGCTTTATTGTAATGCACTGTGTAACTACTCCAATTATTTGCTTTCAAAATTCTTCGAAATACAATTCAGTCTATAGTGATACACAACGTTCGAAATGAACGATCACATTAATTTCAAGTAAATTTTGGTTAAGGCAAAAATTTCAGCTAGGCCTGACAGACGTCTGCAGTAAACTGTAAAATTTGATATAGATAATAGTTCGTTTATGTTTAACTGATCAATCGTTTTCTCATCAAAACCTACTGAATTATGAATTATTGACTATGTTGATTCCGTATACGATCATAAGAAATCCTCTCAGATCTTTCTATGCTTTCTAGAGAATTCGATATGTTCTATAATCTGGATAGAGGAAAAAGAATTTTTGGCGAAAAGTTCGTTAGTCGGGAAAATACATATTAAAAGACCTGAGACGATTTCTTATGATTATATGTGCCATCAACATAATTAGTAACCCACAATTTAGTAATTTTTAGTGAGAAAGTGCTTGATCAGTTGAAAATGTTTCCTCGTGAGATATACTAGTCTTTTCTTCTGTATAATGGAATGAATAGAAAAATAAATTAATCATACTAATGTATCGAAGTAGTATGTGGGATGTTTACTTGTATTTGTGATTATACTATGTCTAAAAATAGAATTATGAATGAGAAAGAGTTCCGAATTTTGATGCTTTATAATGGGATTAATTTAAAATTTTTGTATGTTGATTTAAATTATAAATATGTTGTAATTGGTTAAAACGATAATGTCTAAACAATTCTGTATTTCTTCTAATTCAAATTTGTTGAATTTAAGAAAACAAGGAGAAAAATCTCTCTGAATGCTTTATATTTCTTTTAAAGTATGCTATGATTACAGTAGAAAATCAACGGAAGAAGTAATGTTTCAGACTATTTTCTTTAGAGGTTATGTAATAAGATTGAATCGTTAACCTATAATGAAGTATTCATCAACGGAAAGAATAAAAGGTATTCCGTTTCGGAAAATGTTGAATAAAAATCTTATATCATTCACCTATAGAGAATCATAACTATAATAATATATCGGTTGCAAAAAGTCTTGCTACCAGATAAAAAAATACCTAAACTTTAATCCTTTAGTCTCATTGTTTGACTACAAATAAAGCATCTTGAACAGTGATTTTTATCCCATAGTGAAACTTCTTGCCACTATTGTATATGATAAGCATATTCGCACCTTAAATCTAAAGAGCTCTTTTAAAAAGTATACGACGGTGTCGTATGTCACCGCGTTATCATATGCTGAGGATGATAACAGTACAGCGTAACGATTTTTTTCTTCTGATTTCGCATTTTTCCCTCACATTAAAAGAAAAGAAAGGTATTGTTTGCTTTTTTTTTTAAACATTTATTTGTTTATTGTCCCTATATATTGAGATTGACAATGTATGATAAAAATAAAATAAACGAAATAAGAACGATATAGAAATGATAACGAGAAGTAGAAAGGAAAGAAAAGTAAGAGATCATATTATCATATGTAATTTAGTGACATCTTATGTTTTATAGAGAAGTCAATAGAACCGTAAAATAGGATAGAGAAAATAGTCAGTTGATAATGGTGTCAAGAAAAAAAGATTATCGAGCAGTATATATTTTGAGATATTTGAAACATATAACATCTTATTACGGTCAATTCAACGTACGTGTTTAAGGTATTATTAAAAGGTATTTATATATGAAGAAATAAGTTGGAAAAGAAGCATGTTTATAGTACCCATATTGCTGATAGTGGCTATTCAAAAATTCGGTTAGATAAATTTTCGAGTGTTTTGCTCTTAGAGATAGACGATTAAGAAATGTATTATTCTTACGCATGCCCATACTAAGGTACCAATGCTTTTGAGGTGCTTTTGCAGTGAGAAAAGCATTAAAAGTTAACTGATATTGGTGAGCTTCTGGAGAGTTATCAAGAGGTTTATTGAATTTGAACCAATATTAATATAGATAATCATTGAGTGTAAATTCTTTAGTTAGTGCATAGACTGTTAAATCATCCCATAAGTTTAGATTATACGTTAAACGCAGTCCTGTGCAGTATATATGTTCAATTAGCCTTTGTTGTATTTCTATATAAAAAAATAAAGGTATTGTTTGCTTAGAAGCTTTTCTCGATTATTTTTACTTGCGCACATGGAATCTTCAAACTCGAAACTAGGAAATCTTATTGTACAACTTCACAATCGAACCAATGAAGCAAAAGAAGCTTTTGATCAGGCTCTTACTGAACTTGAAAGGCAAAGAGCTGACAATGAGAAACAATACCAGGAAAAATTGAAACAATTAGCGGAAGAACGCCGAAAATGGGACGCAGAAAAGGCGACAGTAGAAAGATTAGTAGCTTCAGCAAGTCCTATTGTTAACTTGAATGTTGGTGGTGAAACTATGAGTACATCAAGAGCTACATTGACTGTTGCCGAAGGATCCTTACTTGCGACTATGTTCTCAGGTAAATGGGAAGATAAATTGATGAAAGATACAAATGGACGTATATTTCTTGATTATGATCCAGTTGTAAGTAGAAATTTTATATATTCATGAATAATTCTGTCAGTTTTGTCATATATTTTTCGATTTGTCTAATGATATTGACAGATTGAGTTTCCGTTATTTATTGTTTTTCTTTCGACTGAGTCTTCTTTTCATAAAATGAGAATTCTTCGGAATAATATTTGCCTTTTTTTTTCATCTTCTACAGTAAACATGATCGTTTTTAAATTAGACATATTCACATAAATATATACATGTTGATATTTTTTGTTTGTAGTTATTCAAGTTTATTCTAAATCAACTTCGTACTTGGTCCGATCCATCTATAAAACGTGTCTTTCGTCTACCTGTTGGATCTGAACAATCGTTTTTAGAATTTGTTCGTCTATTGAAATTTAATGAACAATATATTGATAGTGAACGAAATACTTTGACTAGTGCTGTTAAAGTCGTACAATCAGAACAAGGGCAAGAACGTTTTGAAACAGTCAGTAGTTCTACTGTTCAATTGACTGATAATGGTCAAAAATGTCAGAATACTGTTGGCAATACTTGGCAATATGTACTTGGAACATTGAGTTATTCGACTGGAAGCCATCGAATTCGATTGAAATTAGAGAATGGTACGAGCAACATTTTGATGGGTATTTGCAGTAAGAGCAAACCACCTACAGGTCCACTATTTTATGATAAGTCTACAACGCATGGATGGTTCGTGCATGGATATGTAATGAAGAATGGTCAAGGCTCTCATCCAGGATGGCCTCAAGTTAATGAGAACGATATTTTAGAATTGACAATTAATTGTGATACACAATCGCTAAGTATTCTTAACGAGAGAAGTCGAGCACAGCACAACATAGAAGTTAATATTGATGAAGCACCTTTTCCTTGGTGCCTCCTTATTATTTTTTATAATCCCGGTAGCCAAGTTTCTCTCGTATAAATTGTATTGAAGAATGACATTTGCTAATATTCAATTATGAAATTAGTTCATTTTTATTTAATATGATATCTGAAGCGTTATCGACACGTCGTACTTCACAAACAAAAACTAGTTATAGTTTTTTTGTTATTTGATGAAATTTAAAATGAAACATCAGAGAAAGCAATGTTACTAGATTACTCAATACAATTCATGCGCTATTATTGAGAACATGCCCATAGTTACACTCAACTTAGATTAAAATCAAATCAAATCAAAGTGTCTACATGATAATTTTTCACTTGAATAACTATAGTTTATTTCTACAATGCTTGCAAACATTAACAAAAATGGCAATTCTCCGCGAGGTAGTCTAACATTGTCAATAGTTACTCGATATAGTAACAATTAGTGTATATAGAAAACTGGATTACAATACAACTAAAAAATGATTCAAGAGTTTTAAAAAGCTTTTTGTTTAACATCTATAACTGTTCCGTCACGAAGAAAACACGTTTATTGATACAGTTTGAAGGCATGGTGAATTCCTCTTTCCAGAAAATTTAAATTTCTATGTATCATTATTCAATGAATGCTATGAAGTACAGAATAATATTTTAGAAGTCAACGAAAAATTAAAACAACTATCTTATAGCGCCAATCACTAATGTTAATATTCAAGTTACTCGATGAAGCATGTGAGAATAGTTAACAGTAATGAGATGAATTTCGCGACTCAATGAAGTCCGATTTCAATAATGTACACTTTATTTCTATATACTATTTATATCGAAAATCAATTTCCCAAGCTTATTTCTTAAAACACTGAATTAAATTTTTATGAAATTTTTCTCATAATCATTTCATTTGAATTTCTTGGAAAGTCATATATAGTTTACTCCTAAGAATTTGTTTTTGCAGCTTGATTGTATGGTATAAAGATATATTTCATGAGATATTATCTGACATTTTTGCGTTTGATATATAATGTGATAAGAATTACACATATCATACTTCAATATTCTTCAACGATATTAATCCAATGTGTTGAATTACAGTCCTAGCTATAACCTTGTTTCGTTAACAGTTTTCTCTTAATGATCGCTAATTTTTAAAAGTATTTTATTTAATGAAGACATAAAAAATATTAGTTTTCAGGTATGCCATGAAATATAGTGTGGTCTGAAACGTTTGTCTAAGGTTCAAAATACTCATATATAAATTTCGACGAACAAGTTATGTCAACATACTATATAATGATTCAAAATGATCTTTATCACTAGAGTTAATACCAATAAGATATGTGAAATAGTTATTATCAAACGTAGTAAATTAAGTTATTTTCAATTCTATGATCTCGATATTTTTCGTAAGCTATAATAATAACATAGGAAGTGTCAGATCATCAATATATAAAGATCTATTCAGAAATTTATAACTCACGAGGTAATCTCTTCAGATGTCAAATTGACTTTCGACTATCTCTTATCCTGAGATATGAAATTCACTCATGTATAAAAGCAAATTTTATTCATATATAATAGGATGTAAAAAAATGACTGCCTTTGGTTTTTAGGAAAAATCTTCTCCCAGAAGCGGCGAACTTAACACTTTCATATTTGCAGTATATGCACACAACAGTCTACTACAAAAAAGAAACAGTAAACAATCATTAATTGATTCTGTTTTTTCTTAAAATTATAAGCTCCGAACATTTCCTTTTCAATTAATTGTTATCAAATAATTTACAACTAACGTTTCTACTCTTAACAATATACTAGGAGGTTTCAGCTACGTTGAGTCATGTAATGTTCGATGACTAGTCGATCATTTCGGATACCTATGGCTCCAAAATTTGCTATTAATATATTTTGAACTCGTAACGAATCCTAGTTTTGGATATCAGTTAATAAATTCCATCCGAAAGTACAGTTGGGCTCTAGTTTATCTGCCCAGGCTGCGCCGCTCACTGCTGGTGTCTTATTGTGTCCTCGTATGTTAATATCAACCACTGGATGAAACTGATGTATCACCATTTATCTAAGCACACCCGCAGCCACACTCTTCTCGTAACTCTCTTTCGCTATGATCGATTGTTCCTTCAAAATTGTTTCCTGTACTGAATGTCGTCCTCGGATGTAATGTTACAATGCATGTTATTACTACTGTTATCCTTTATGATGACGTTCTCATCTGGCATTGTTATATTGTAACAGATCCCAACACTCATACCCTCAAGGCTCGGTAAATAAAATCATTTTAGACTCTTCTAACACTCACTAGTACTCGTCAAAAAGAGATTTAACATCTGTGAAGAGGTTTCTTTTGTCAGCATAATTTAAAGCAATAAGTACTATGTAATATAAATAAAATTCTTTTTTTTGCAATTACAAAGAACGCATTATAAATAAAAATAAAAGCGTTGCAATAGAAACCATAGTTGAGAGAGTACTAATATTAGCAGTATTTCCTCCGGCAATTACTACACCATCGTTACCAACAATCGATTTAATCCAATCGATATACATAGTAGCTCGAGTATAAACACCAGCATAATTAGCCAATGCACATCCATGACCAAAAGATGTTACACCTGCTAACATCCATTGTTCGTAAATATCTGAATAATACATCAATGGACCACCTGAATCACCTTGACATGTATCTATAGACAAGAAGTAGATTTATATGTTTTTGTTGTATAATAACAATCACTTACCTTTGCCTCCACCATTGACAGCTGCACAAAATTGTATATCTGTATTTTTAATTGAATTGCTACATTTTGGTTCTTTATTACCAACAGCTGCGAGTGTTACTTGTCTGAGATTAGTTGATAAAGAACCACCTGACATTGTATGTCCCCAACCAATAGCTACAAGTTTTGAATTTGATAATGGAAAATTATTTTTTACAGTGCCACGAAAAGATGGTAGACAAAGTTTAGCAATATTATCATCGTTAAAAGAGATTGGTTTATTTAATTTAAGAATAGCAATATCATTTTCGAATCTTTTTGAATGCCAGTTTGGATGCAGATAAATCTTTGACACAACTATTCGTTGTCCAATATTATCATACAAATTGTCTATACCAACAACAACTGTTAATTTGTCTCTTGAAAGATTAATATTATCGACACAATGTGCTGCTGTAAGCACATAATTTGGAGAGAGAATTGAACCACCACAAAAGTGTTGATTGGATGATTTACGTAATGAAACAGCCCAACCCCAACTATGACTAGCAGCTATTTCACCACCGACAATTCTGGCATTAATATTAACTGGCTTTTTTGAACAACCACATAGAGCTGTCTTATTGCATGAATATATAGTTGCTTGTACCAAATATTGATGAAGAAAGAAACATAAGACGAATAATATGAGTTGAGACTGGCAAATCATAATGTTGTGTTGTGATGATCTTCTCGTGTAACGTGATGAAGATATTTGTCGTATTTATATACATTTGATGGTTAGAGTTCTTATCGAAATCTTAACATCATGCAAAACAACATACATATTATCATACTTCTTTTTTTTGTTTTGATTACTCATGATGTTGAGTGACGTCTGTTCTTATCTTGTAGGTGTTGGAAAGCAAATTTTTCTTCATAATATTCATGTGATAAAAAAAGTTCTTATACGGCGAAAGAAAATGAGTTATATCGAAGTGCACAGAATATTTTCTGTAGACGGTTTTATCTTTTTCTTTTCTTTTTTTCGAATATCATTTTATTTTCGATAGTAATACATACGTAGCAAAAAAAGAGTCTAGTTTTGTTAGTCGAAATTAAACAATTTACTTTGAACATTATATTATGATATAACTGTTTCTGTGCAATATTAGACGTCATAATATGTATTGTTGAGAATCCTAAGAGACATATATTTAACAGACCACTGGAATCTCTAATAGATCGCCGAAAAAAAAATATCTCGTACCTTCGGAGTGACTATCCAATTCCGATTAGAAAATTTTTATTAAGAACATCAAAGTACAGTTCGACCAATCCCCGTTCGAAAATCTTAGACCCGATGGTGTCATCAATGACCTTTAATGTGACTTGTTGTAACTAACCGAGTAATTTGCCATGCTTGGTTGTATCTCCCCAATTTCTAGCAACAAGTAATGAGTTAATTGTTGGATATGAGGCCTATTTCGACAGAATCAATCATAATAAATAAATCCTTCAAATATAAATATCATCTATACGAATCAAAATCTGTGTTTGAAGCATCGTTATATTATTTTCATTATTTGTTGAATATCATACCAAAATGTAATGAAATGTTTGATGCTTACATTCTTGTTATTATTCAATGTGATAAAGTATCCATACTGAAGGTAACCTGTAAATCATCTTTTTTCATTGAATCATTTTAGAAACAACTAGCTGGTGTTAGTATTTAACATAGAGAAACAATACTCCCATTAGGGAGCTGCAGATCCTTCCAGACTCAGACCCGATCCGGTCGGATCCGGGTGCATAATTTTATTTTTTTTCAAGTCCGGATCCAATGTTTTATTTTTTGTCAGGTCCGGTTACACGTTTTTATGGATCCACTGCTCCCCAGCTGAGAAATATAGCAACCACATATAACTGTACATTGAGATTTTTTTTCAGACAATGGCAAATGAATCGCTAAAATCTTGATTCTTTATTTGTTCATGTACACGAAGTGTGACAGGTATCGATGGAAAAAACCTCTGGTTTGGGCCCGACCGGGCCCGAGTCCAAATTTTAAACTTTTGTAGTCTCCTAACTTCAACCATATTTATGATGATTGTTTTCACATGAGATAGAAACTGTTCAACTACAAGCATGAAAAATTATTGTTATCACATCATAATTATGTGAATTAATATTGAAATCATATCGAGAACTGTCACATAAAATATCATGTTCGTATGAAAAAATAATTATTTAGACAATAGATACTATATGCGAAGGAAATATATAAATTTGAAGATTTTATAATTATCAATTTTATGTGTGATAAGTTTTTCGCCGTGTTCAATACAAGTAAATTCATTATATCAATATATACTTACTCATTTATGATAAACAACATTACCAGAAGAAACAAAATGAATGGCGAAGCATTTTCTTTTTGTTAGCACTTTTGCTTTTATCATTTTACTCATTTACAAATAAGAAATCGATTGTTCTGATCTTCTGTATTTAACTTCCTTAAGAAAATTAATTACATGAGTTCTAGATGATATGGTACATAAAATTATTAAAAGATTCTCAATATTCTAAGACTTGTAACGAAAAAATCCTACGGACTTTTACGGTTCATAGAAAATTTCTTCGAATTATTTCGATCTATACCATACCAACTACTTTGATTGCTTTATCTATTAATACTTTCTGTATAACTAACCGTAATGACTCACCCTTCATTGTATTGACGAACATCACACCGATGATAATGACTTTCTGAAAAAATTTTAAAATGTTTTCAATTAATAACTATTCAGCATACGAAACTACAATTATGTTTTTAATTGACAATAAAATCTTAGTTACCTTTGGTCACCACTATCAGCAGTTATACAAAATTACAAAGTGATAGTATTAATTGAACTGTGATATTTTGTCTCTTCGTTTCCGATAACTTTCAATGTTACTTGTCTAAGAACACTAGATTCATTACCATCTGATACCGCATGTCTGCAATCGATGGCTACAAGTGATGATTCGATAGGATTTTTTAATTTAAGAATAGCAATATCGTTTTAATTAGTTGTTTATGTCCAATAAGAATCAAGAAAAAAAATAATTTATAGGCGAATACAATAGTTTGTATCGAATATTCATCGGATCAAATATATACAAGAAAAAATATACTTGTCAATAAACAAATCATAATGTTTTGTTGCTATTCTACTTTCATATGTCGTAATAATATTAATATTACGAAAAAAATAATTTCATTTTATTCGTTATCATTGTTTACATCTTTCTCATATCTCTTGGATATCTTTCGTTATCTCGAAAGGAATATATTTACTTTAATAAGATATTCGTGATTAAAAAAGAAAATGTTATTTGACATCAATCTCGCTATTTCATTCATTGAAGTATTTTTCTATCAAATAAAATATGTTTCATGAAACTTATTTGATTAATCAACCATTAAACAAAACAAGATATTTTTTCTAAAAATTTTCACGTTGTATTTGTTCTATAATTTTAAACATCTAACTTAAATTCTGATAATGATTTTAATAGCCAATGGAATTTTCTATCTAATGAATTTCATAGCCAGATTTCATAAATCACCTATGATGACAAGGTTTCTAAAAAACCGAACACGACTCCAGCTTAAAGAGCACAGAATTCTGTATAAAATACTGAGTCGCTCCATTTTCTACGTCCTTTTTTTAAAAATCTAAAAACATCACAAAAAAGTGTAAAATAACGAAATCTATCAAAAAATGCCTTTTTCAGTTTTTGTGGTGCTTTTAAATTTTTAAAGAAAGCTCGTAGAAAATGGGGCGGCCCAGTATTTCGTTCAGACTTCTGTGCTCTTTACCCTAGGGAATGTACTGAGCTAAGGGTACCCGAAAAAGTACCCTGCTACTAGTATGTCACAGGAACTTTCGGGTACTGAAGTACCTTAAAGTACTTTTAGGTACCTATAAGGTACTCGACCAAGTACCCTGCTGGAAAGCATCCAGTAAATGGGTACTTGAAGGTACTGATCAAGTACCCAACTGGGTACTATTGTTTAGTAATTTTGGGTACCCTGTTGCCAAACTTGCAGTATGTTGATGATCGAAACTAACCTCTGGCTTTTTTTCATTTTTGTTTCTCTCAAAGCAATTTATGATATTTTCTCGATTTTATTTTATTTTATTTTTCTAATTCTGAAAAGCCAAGCAGGTCAAATTTCGAGATCTGACCGGACGCAAATTGGTCGGATCTCCATCAGACCACTTCAAGGTAGTCCTCTCTCAATCTACGATTGAGATCAGCATGTCCTCGACTAGTAAATAGTCAAGAAAAATAATCTAGAAAAAATTAGTAATTATGAAAAAATATTTTTTTCTTATGCTTCCTCGAGTTGCTTATATGAAGCCGTATATGCAAAAGAAAACGGTGAATGAACAGTTGCTACACAGAACGCAACAAATCTAGGGTACCCTGTAGAGCTTTTCCTAGTAAAATTACAGGTGCGGGTACTCATGCAAGTACTTGTTCAGTAAACATACTGCAATGGGTACCCAATGCAGCACCTACGTCAGTATAATTACTGAAAATTTTCGAAGTACCCATATCGAGTACCCTGCTGAGGCTTTCTCAGTACATGGGTACCCTGAACTCAGTACTTTCTCTAGGGTATATAGTTCATAATGATTATCAACGCCATCTGTCATTTATATCTATAAAAAGTTTAACTTAATTAAAACAATCTATTCGAAGTTTTTGGTTCTGTTTTATTTTTATTTACAGTTGGAAATTGATCTATAGTGGCAGCTGCCGACAATCTGATTGGATAATCAGATGCATCTATTACTATGAATCGTACTAAGCGATATTCGACGTCAGTCATCATTTATCTATGTTTATTCTTTAAAAAAAATGGTTTCAACAACATCGTTTCGTCTCGATCAGCGAGTGTCCGTTCCTGGCAAAGGCTTTGGCACTATCGCATTTATTGGAAGAACAGAATTTGCTGATGGTAATTAAATTTTTTTTTTGTTCTTTGAATTTCTATTGGAAATTTTTATAGGTGAATGGATTGGCGTTATTCTTGATGAACCAAAAGGAAAAAACAATGGAACTGTACAAAAAAAAGGTAATGATAATATTCTATTTGATTTTTATATATGAATATTTTTTTTTAGATGGAACAATAGTACGATATTTTACATGTAATGATAATCATGGTCTATATGTACGATCTGGACAAATTGAATCTATAATTAATGATTCAAATCTAACTCGATCATCTTCGAATCATTCAATAAAATCCGAAGGTAGTACTACAGGAAGTATTCCACCGCCATCAACTTCAGCAATTCCAAAAACAAGTGCTGTACCAACAAAACAAAAAGGACTTCGAACACCAACACCGGGTACAACCGCTAAACTTCCAGGTATAAAATAATTCAAAAAACAAAAAAAAGAAAAGATATTCTTTAAATATAAAAATAATAGAAACAAAAAAAAAGGAAATTTTTATTGTTCTATATTATTACATTAGGATCTGATGGTGATATTGATCAAACAGGTAGTAAAGTCATATGTAGTTTTATTTTTGTTTTTTGTCTGTAACCATATAATGATACAAATGAAAATATTAGAATTTTTCATCTGTATCAATTACTTAGAACTTAATAATGTCATATAATCAATGGTGATGGTTTTTGTTTTCATTATCACATTCAA